CCGCACTACCATGCCCCCGGGGATCCCCGCCAGCCTGCCGGCTCCAAGTGGTGGGGAAGAGAAAAAGTCGGTGGGGGTGCGTTTCTCTGCTCCCAGCCTCAGCTGGGCGCCGAATTGCGCAAACTTGCCCCCGGGCCCGGGGTCTCCCCTGGAATGTGCCCGGGCCCCGGGCCCCCAGCCTACATTCCTCACGTTGCGGCCAGCCCCGCCTCCGAGAACTGGTGGGAGGGGCGGTGAGACGATTGGCCTTGGGAGTGGCGCGTGTCCGGACCAGAATCCTGGCTTCTTGGCCACGGCTCGAGGGCTGCAGCACGTTGCCCACCTCCAGAGTTTTGATGCAGCCCCTGTGTGTCCTGCCTTTTTCAGAGAAATAAACTAAGGTGGGCCTGGAAGAAGTGTGTGCAACCGGAGACCACCTCCCATTCAGGATGAGGGCTAGGAAGAAAGGAGTGCTGAATTGAGGCCGGTTTCGCTTCCAGGCTCCTGGAACTCCTGGTCCTGAAATTAAAATGGAACAGTGTTCCTCCCATTCCGCCACTCTAGGACTGGGCCTAGCCCTGACACGCCTCTCTACAACTGGGGTCAGGCCAGGGAGGTCAGCTCCAGGATAGAGGCTTAGAACCGACCCTTCTCCCCGTTATTTGGGGACCCATCTCCCTACTCCACCCCACCAGATGCTCTACCCTCTGTTTTCTGCTCCCTAGCTGAGGAACACTAATGAGCTCTGATAGAGAATTATAAGTTCCTCACTCCTGAGCAGTCCTTCCTCGTCTCCTTTTCATGTTCTCCCACCTGGAGTACCTGAGGACTGCCTCCCCTCCCCCACAGGGATATGGAGGCGGGCACACTAGGTTACCACAACACCCGGAGCCAGGATTCCCTAGGGCTGGTGGTTCTGCCAGGAATGGTCAGATGTACTGTGATGTGCTTGTCCCAAATATAAACTGTGACCACAGCCCCAAAATAGAAGGCCTGAAGAAGAGGGGCTGAGAATAGGGCAGGGACAGGGACATCAGAGAGATGAGGGAGGGGGAACAGGGCCCCTCCTCTCAGGAAATGTCAACAGCTGGTTCCTCCCTTAGTCCTATAAGTGGGTGCCCCAGAGGCACAGCCATGACTCAGGCCTGTCTTGCTAGCCCGCTAGGAGGGAGAGGTGGCCTGCCTCTGTCCCAACTGTAGGGCAGAAATAAGAGGAGGATTTATCCCATGCTTTATGCATGTACAGTGGTTGAACAGGAAACAGGACACAGCCAAAAGGCCCCTGTCTTCCCTCTCTGGGCACTGGCCCCCATCATCCTAGCTTACCCTGCCCTCTTCCAAGGGGTGTATGGAGGCCAGCCCACTTTTTCCCTGGGACTCCACCCTCACATCCCATTGGGCTTGGCCTAGCCACTAGAGTTTCCCTGGGGGCTTCCTTTTTAAAGAGCTTTCAGGTCTGAGAAACCCTTGCTCATTTCCTCCAAGTCTAGGAGGAAGCTCCTAGCCACAGCTTCTGACTCATCTCCTGGCCCTAGTTAGTGGAGGGGAGACTTGGCAGTGCCTTGGGCCAGGCCTGATGTCCCCAGGGGAACTCAAGAGTGTCTTCCTCCTTTCTATGCAAAAGATTTTCCCTGCTAAGGGACCTGTCCTTGCCTCAGGGGAAAATGTGTCCCTCTGGCCCTGCATCTCATCTCCTAATCTATAGCTACTCGGTCCCACCTTCCTTTCTGGGAAATGCCTCTGGATTCTCTATCTGAGGCCCAAAGACCCCACGTGTCTGGGATAGCGCTGACTTCTCCCTGAGCTCTGGACAGAGGAACCTGGGATGCTTCTCTTACCTGGTATTCAGCCCTTGGCAGTCCTGCAAAGGCCAAGGTAGCCTCCTCCTGGCAACAGGGATAGATAGCCCTAGAAATCTGGTTATTCGGAGGCTCACACCTGTAATCCCAGCACTTTGGGAGGCAGAGATGAGGGGATTGCCTGAGTCCAGGGGTTCGAGACCAGCCTGGGCAATATGGTGAGACCTCGTCTCTACAATAAATAAAAAAATGAGCCGAGCGTGGTGGCATACACCTGTAGTTCCAGCTACTTGGAAGGCTGAGACGGAAGGATCACCTGAGCTCAGCAGGTTGAGGCTGTGATGGTCGTGAGCATGCTAC